CGTCACGGCGCTCCACCTGCTTGGCTGGCCCCTGTGTCCGCCCTGCCTGACTTCCCTGCTGCTTCACCTCAGTCCTTGCACTGTGTGCCTCTAGCCTGCAGCTCTGAGATACGAGAACAAGTGGCCTCTTAGGAACCAGGTGGCACTGGTGCAACCAGCTGCAGGTGGGGCCACAGGCAGGGAGGGGGCTGAGGGACACACTACACACTGAGCCAGGCCACCCCGGGGGGCCTGCTGTGAGAGCTGCCGCCATTGCCTGGGGATCTGACTTTTTGAAAGCAAGGTCCTAGGGCACACCCCAGCATGGGGGTGGACTTTTATCAAAGATGGGGACACTGCAGACACATTTATCTCCCTCTCTGCTACGCTGGCTGGTGAAGCAGTAGGCTCACAAGGCCTCTCTGAGGACTGGCCAATCAGCTGTGCCTGAGGCAAAGCAAGGCCCTTATATGTGCTCTCCCTCACTCTGTCTGCCTTAGAGTTGCACGCCTGAGTGAGCCTGCCAGCTCCTGCCATGGGGTCTGTTCTCCAGGAAGTCTGGCCCGAGGTAAGATTCAAGCTTCCTGGTCCTGGTGTCACCAGACTCCTGTCCACTCTAACCCCAGTGGTATTCAGATGACTTTCTGGAATGCTCTTTCCCTCTGCCCAGATGTCAGCTCTGTGTGTGCCTGCAGGAACATGTGTGCACATGTGTGTTATTTAAATTCTTACCAGATTTCTTTCCAGATGAACACTGAAGCTTGGGGGGAAGAATACACATCCACGAACACACATCTAGCCAATGGATGGGCTGAAATTTTAGTCTTGGTCTAACATCAAAATCTGAGCTCTCAGACCAGGAGTGTGGAAGTCCGACCAGGGCTTAAATGTTAGCTCTGAATGTACCAGCTAAGAGATGGTCAGCAGGTTACCCAAGCTCCCTGGCCTTCCGTATTTCCTCCACTGTGTAAGTGACAGATTTAGGTGTGGTGACTTCTTCCCCTAGGGACAATCAGTAGCCTTAAGGACCAGCTGTTATGGCCTCGGAAGTCTTCATGTACAGCTTGAGGAAGCAGTGAAACAGGATGATGCGTGTACTGTGGGTCCAGGCCCTGGGGCTATTGAAATCCCTGGAGAACATTTTGGCTGGGGGTGGGGGGGACGGTCTGGGTCCTGGTGTCACCCAACTCCTGCCCACTCTAACCCCAGTGGTATTCACACGACTTTCTGGAATGCTCTTTCCTTCTACCCAGATATCAGCACAAATATTATTTCCCAAGGGAAACCTTCCCTCCCCTGCCCCTTGGCCTTGAAGATTGGATACCGATCCCTCTGGAGGCTCTCTCATAGCTGCTTCTATTCCACCTCTTTGCACTTATAAACACTGAAATTATATATTAGTGTGATCATTTATCATTATCTGTTTCTCACTGGAAAGATGCATGAGAGAAGTGTCCATGTTTATTTTGGGCATGGTCTCTCTAAGGTTTAGAACAGTGGAAGATATTCAATAAATATGTTTACTGACTAGAGGGGTTAATGAATTCATTCCCAATACTATGTAGCCAAGTCTTGATGAGACCAAAACAGGAGTGCTGTGGCTTGAAAGCCAGCCCAGGGTGAATGTTAAAATCCCCGTCTGATTGCCCCAGTCATTCGGTATGGTGCTGTGTGTCCTTGAGTCCAGGACCGCTGTCCTCCTGCCAGTCCACGTCACAGCTCATTAGGGGCCGATAAGGGAATGGCTGTGTGCTGACTCTGGCATCCCTGAAGTCACCCTCACAGCACCGGGCTGAAGAAACGGGCTCAAGGTGACTGAGGACAAGGTTAAGAGGGAAGGGAAAAGCCCAGCACTTCAGCTCTCTGTTGTCTCGCCACAGCAGGACCTCCATAGTGGAATCCGAAAAAGAAGCCTGTTCTCTGATGGGGGTGGGGGCATCTGGGCTATGGAGAAAAGCAGCACCTCCTTTTCTGCTGAAGCCTGGACACGGTCAGCAGAGTGGGCTCCAGCTTCCAAGATGGCAGCCGGCCGCCTGCAGGGTCTCCCCCTCTGCTCCCTGACCCGGTGAAAGGCTGGCAGGGCTCCCCAGGCCATCTGTGACCTTCTGTGGGATGGCTGACCTCTCCCTTGTTTGTAAGTCTCTCCCCAGGGAAAGGCCTCGTGTCTGGGCCAGTTCACTCAGACTCTAATATGGTTCCCAGTTCCTGGACAAGTGTTGGGTCTGTCCTGCCGGGTGAGTGCCACTGCTGTCTGGATCACCAGGCACACACCTGAGCACCCTGCTCTGCAGAGCCTAAAACCCCTTCCCAGGCTCTTGTCTTTGCAGAACTTTCCACAGCACACTGTCAAGCACCGCTCACTTGATGCCCAACTCACAATTTTATCCTTGAAAACGGGGGCTTTAAAAAATGTATCTTATTGTGGTTTTGATTTGCATCTCCCTTATTACAAGTGATGCTGAACATTTTTTCATATGCCTGCTGGCCGCCTGCATTTCTTCTTTGGAGAGTGTCTTTGAAGCTCTTCTGCCCATTTGTTGATGGGGTTGTTTACTTTGTATTTGTTGAGTTTCCTCAACTCTTTATCTTTGTGATCAGTCCTTTATCATTCGTATTATGTGAGAAAATTTTCTCCCAGTCAGCAGGGTGTCTGTTTGTTTTATGTAATGTCTCTTTTGCTGTACAGAAGCTCTTCAATTTGACGTAGTCCCAGCTGTTTATCCTTTCTTTCACTATCCTTGCTTAGGGTGATGTATCTTTAAAGATGTCACTGAGGTGTATGTCATGTGGTATTTCACCAATATTTTCTTCTATATATTTTATGGTTTCAGGTCTTACGTTTAGTTCTTTAACCCATTTTGAGTTGGGTTTTGTGTATGGCACAAAGTAGTAATCTAGCTGCTGCTTCTTCTTCTTCTTTTTTTTTTGCATGTAGCAGCCCAGCTTTCCTAGCACCATTTGTTGAACAAATGCAACTCAAAACCACAATGAGATACCACTTCATATCAGTGAGAATGGCACGTATTAAAAAAAAAAAAAAGCAACAATAAATGTTGGCAAGGGTGTAGAGGAAAAAGGAGCTCTCCTACACTGCTGGTGGGAATGCAAACTGTGCATAGTGCAGCCACCATGGAAAGCTGTGTGGAGGTTTCTCAAACTGCTAAAAACGGAGCTTCCATATGATCCAGCAATCCCACTCCTAGGTATCTATCCAAAAAACACAAAAACAATATTTCAAAAGGACACATGCACCCTTATGTTTCCTGCTGCACTATTACAATAGAGATGGAATCAACTCAAATGCCCAAAAATAGATGATTTGATCAAGAAGATGTGGCATATATACACAATGGGATATTACTCAGCAATCAAAAAAGATAAGCTCATGTCATTTGTGGTAACATGGATGGAGCTGGAAGGGATCATGCTTAGTGAAAGAAGCCAGAAAGAAAAAGAAAAATACCAGATGGTTTCACTCATAGCAGGAGTGTAAGGGATCAGGAAAATATATAGAGATATATAGTAATTGTAATAAAGTAAAAAGTAAAAGAGAACATCAAGGAACAACTATAAACCCGAGACATACTACCGGGGAGGAGAGGGAACAAGAAAAAAACTGGGGTGGGAAGAGCACACGGGACTATGGTGATGGTGCATGGGTCGATGGTGACGTGGAGGTGGGAAGTCCATGGGCATTACAACTGAGATGAAAGAATGTACAAAATGACGACTAATGTAAGCAATATAGTTATAAACTAAAAAAACAAAGTATTTTAAATATCTTAAGTATATATCTCCAAAGTCATGCCAGTTCAGTAAGTAAAGGGAAGAGATAAAAACAGGAAAGACAGAAAGGAGAGGAAAGGTGAAAAGGAGGGAGGGTAAAGTGGACGGAGACAAGGAAGAGCCTGGACTCCGGTGCCATCTAAGTCCAGAGGCATGCAGCAGCGGGAGAACGTGGGCTCTGGATTTAGACAGAGAGGGGTTCAAATCCCAGCCTGTCTACACTGACTGTGTGGCTCCATTCAGGCTCCAGAGCTTCCGGTAGCTCATTTAGAAAATGGGGCTAACCGCTAGCTAAAAGGCTTTTTAAAGAGGATTAGAGAGAAAAGCACCTTGCACATCGGTGCTGTGCTCCTGGGAGGCTGCTCAGGTTCCTTTGCACGTGGAAAGCACAGAGAGGGAGAGGGATTGGCTCAAAGTCGCACTGAGAACCGAGGTCTGTGTTCTCTGCACCCGGTCCCCATCATCTGTCTTCACCACGACAACCCAGTGATAGACAAATTAGTAACGATTTAATTCATTTGTACAGATGTTAATAGCGTATACCAAGAAAACAAGAGATGTCCCCCTGGAAGAACTTTCTATCTCCTTGCTCTCACTGAACAGATGACTGACATTCTGTGATGCTCACCTGCATTTTAATCAAGACTCCACATTCACCCTGCAGACCTATGGCCTGTCTCAGTGCACTCTGGTCTTGGGTTCGTAAAAGCACATTAACAACAGTAGAAAATAATACAAGTCACCAAATAACTGTAACTGCAGCCAGCTCCTCTGACAGTTGATCGCCTTCCCCCTGCTGTTTAACCATGTCTTCCTCAACAGCACTTTTCAAAGTCAAGACATGTGGTTGTGTTCTAGTCTTAAGAGCTTGTCCAAACTCTGCCGGGGCGTAGGGAGCAGCAAAATGGTCTGAACGAGCCAAAGACAGCTGCATTCTCTGAAATGGAACCGGGACCATGCTAGCTGGTCAGTGCCTTCCACCTGCTACAAGCCCTGGGCGGCTAAGGGGGTGGGGGGAGGCAGATGTCACGTGGCCTCATTCACCAACGCACATGGCCGGTGCCTGGCTGGGTGTCGGCTGAGCAAAGACTTGTAGAATGAACGCAGGAACAGATGAAAGCTGCACCCAGGCCTGTCTGACTCAGCCAGGGCTTCATAAACACGTGGCACAGAGCTACGCCCTTCCGCCTCCCTCCCCATTTCACCTCCAGCCCAATTCGCCGTGCGCTTCTTACCCTAGAGATCAGCTCCCCGACCATGCCCGTCCAGGTGCCGTTGGCCTCAGGGACACCGTACACGCCGTCCCCGACCAGCCGGATCTTGTAGTTGAAGCGGAGGATCTCTGCCAGCTCCTTGAGCATGTCCACGCAGAAGCCCTCGTAGCGGTCGTTGCCTTCCATCTCCTGGTGGTTCCCCTTCAGCATCAGGTACGGGTTTTCCTGCAGCAAAACTGGGCAGCTGTCATTCTCATCTTAGCCCTGGGGTCTCAACCACACAGGATGGGGGGGGGGAGTGTTTGGGAGCACAGGGAGGAGGGAGCAGAAGCAGACGTGGCTTGGGTCTGTGGAGGGGTTCTGGAGGTGGCAATCAGCGCCCCTCCCCGACTTCCAGACACGTCTCTACCCTCTGCACGGAGGGCCCTGGTGCCCGCGAAGGGCAGGTGTAGCTCCTCCGCCTTGGTGGTCCTGCCCCAGCCCACCCCCTTCCACTCTTTTCCCCTTCCCTTTGTTCAGGTAACACAGAGAAGCTGTGACTAGATACAAGACGGTGACAGGGACCAAGAGAGAAAACCTCAGGGGCAACAACTCTCCTGACATGGGGTGCTGAGTGCTGGGTCAATGGTTTGGCTGGGGTGGGGGTGGAGAGAGCCCAGAGTGTGCAGGAGACATGATGGGCGGGACTGATGAGGGCTCAGGCACGTCGTGAGGCACAAAGGGGAGAGAGAGGCTTAGGGCCAGGGAGGGTGACCAGAGGTGCCACCACTGCCGGGGGGGCTTGGAGGAGAAGATGATTTGGATTTGAATTTGAGCTGCGGTAGGGAGAGAAAGCAAGCGGATGTTTCAGATGTGGAGTGAAGGCACGAAGGGGCAGCCGAAGTGGTGGACAACACGAGGCCATCGAGGATGAAGAGTTGAGAAAGGACAGAGGAAGGGCAGGAGGGGCCTTTAGGGGGACCATGATCATAGAGAGCGGGGGTAGGGAAGCAGCCAGAAAACGTGAAAATCAGGGAAAAGGCGTCAGGAGTATTGGAGGAAGAAGGTTTTCAAGGGGAACCCAGACACCCCTCACAGATGAGGCGGCTGTGAAAGGGGCCCTGGGTCTGGCCCCACTGGTGACCTTTGGAAGGCAGAGCCATTGGGGTGGCTGAGCTCTGCAAGGATGGGAGAAACGGGGTGCACGCAGGAGAGCGCAACCGCATTTTGAGACTAGAAGGCAAGCCAGTCGCTCTCTGCCCGCCCGCTACCGGCCCCATCTGGAAAGCACAGGCCTGGAGGATCCCCAAGGATTCCACAGTCCATGATTTATGGTTCTGCAAGATGGGTCTGGAGAGGCAGCTGAGCGTAGTTAAGATGGCGGGGGCGGCATGAGGGGCCCGAGTGATTGCAAAAGGAAGAAAGAGAAGCGCCAGAGGGTGCAGCCAGCACCGGGAACCAGAGGGTGCAGGCAGGGAAGGCGAGTGAGAGGTGGAGAAGTGGGCCAAGGGTTGGGGAGGGGAGCAGGAGGGCCGGGAGGTGGGTACGCCAAGGAGGTGTGACCCTCTAGGTAGCATGTTAAGTGGGGAGCTGGGCTGACCCTTGCCCTACCCCAAGCTAGTGGGTCCCCAGCCTCTTCCCCACAGGCGCCAATGTTAACTTTTTTTTTTTTGACTGTGAAGTAAGAGGCACTGAAAAGGCTTCATAAATGGGGCTGGACTGGGGATTTCCGTCCCTGGGTTGGTGATACCCCAGGGTAACTATAATTCTCCCAAGGAGTGTCACAAAATTTTGTTCTCCAGGGCCCTCCCCGGTGGCACAGCGGGTTAAAGCGCAGCACTGCAAAGCGAGCCACAGCCGCTGCAGTGCAATTTCGGTCCCCAACCCCAGAGCTGACCCACAAGGTGCGGCAGACCTCTCCTGACCCTCCCGCTGCTCCCCTCCTCAGTGTACTTCATCAGTCTGCCTGTTCTTCTCCCCATTCTGACTCTGGTAAAGCCTCTCACCTCCCCTGCACCTCTGGCCTGTACCCCAGTTCTGTACGCATAAATAAATAAATCTTTCAAAAAATATTTTGTTCTCAAAATACTCTTAATTCAAAATTCACTGACAATGTCAAAATAAATACACAATGACTAATCATGGAGAGAGGGAAAGTGTCACAAATGACAGAAATGTTGGGGTTTACTGGCACTTTGGAAAATATGGGAGTTCAATGCTGGCCTGGAGCAGAAGGCCCTGCTCTGGCAGGAGTGTCAGGGGGAGAGCAGGTGAGAATGCAGGAGAAACATCTACCATGAGGGCTGATGGGGGTTGGGGGTTGGGGGGGCAGGTGCCCCAGGAGCAGGGCTGCGGCTAATTCTATGCATTTCTGGTATTAACCAATAAGTCACTCACCCGTCCCAAGTGTGGGGAATGGGAACAGGAGACAACGGGGATCTGTGCTGAGTGTTCAGGGACAAATCACTGAGGATTACCTCTTGCCAGGGATAACCCACAAACGGCTGCTGGGGATTGAATTAAGATAACCAATCCCAGGAAGAGTTACTGCATCAACCATCTCGGCCCCAGTGCGTAAGGAAAGGGCCACTGCAGTTCTGGTTTGAGCTGTACTTGTCATGTTATTGACTGCTGCCTGACACCAGTGTCCTGCCCCCCGACCCCCACTTCACGAGCACACGTGTGCAAGTGTGAATATGCTCGGCCTTGCACACACGCCACGGATGGGCAGGTCCAGTGTGGAAACGGCCCTTGTGTCACCATGGCTGTGGGTCTGTGCCAAAGCCCGAGCCCCGTCCAGTCTCAGGCCCTGAGAGGCAGCGCGGACACCTCAGCACTGTCCCCATCTCCCTCCTGGGCTCAGGCTGGCTTTCAAGGGCCTGCACCTCCCTACAGGAGGCTGCTCTGTGGCAGGCCTGTCTTGCACTCTCGAAGGGGAGGCAGAGCCATAAAGAGGCATCTCCAGCAGGAGAGATGCCACCACAGAGCCCAGCACAGGGAAGGAACAGGATGAGGAAGAGGTGGGCAGAGCCCTAAAGGAGACACGGCTGGAAATGGGAACCGGAGGGCAGCATTCCTGGGACAGGAAACAGCACAAGCGAAGGCAGGGAGCGGCGGGGCAGAGTGAGAGATGCCGGCCCCAAGCAGGCATGGCAGGTGGGGCCGGCTTGTGAGTGGTTTATATCCCAAGCCCAGGCCAGCAGGGTCCAGGCTGCATGAGAGGATTTCAGTAAGGAATGACGGGGCACACACACGGATGAGCCTGCCGCCTACCACGTGAGGGGAAGCTCTCCAGCCTGGCCTTGGAGGTGCGGAGCGCTCTGGACCCATCTTCTCTGGGCCCCTCCCCCCTTTCCTCTCACCATCTATATCCACATCCCAGGCCAAGCTGCGCTTTTTTGCACTCGTGAACACCCGACAGGCCTCCCCTTCGTTCCACGCTCCTGCCCTGTCTCTGCCTCTGAAGTCCCTCTTCCACGCCCCTGATCTCTCTGATAGGATGGGGTTCCCTTGAAGCCCACAGTGCTAGCATGTGCCTCCTTTCTGGATTTTGCCCCACTGTGCTTATAATAAGTAGATCAATAATTCTGGTTCAGGGTACGTGGGCACCAGGAGTTTATGAAGGTGGTGATGGAGGTCCCTGAGCTCTTTTCATTATCTTGAAAAAGAAAAAAAAAAAAAAACCACCCACAACAAAACTCAAAACAGACACATTTGCAGACTTTGCACATTTAGCACCGATAAGGCTGAGCAGGTTAACTAATTCATCAAGTCTCTGCTTTGGGCTGGGATTCTATCAGTGTGGCAACACTGGTTATCTCCTGCTGATAAGCCACTGTGCCAGACAGGAAAATATGCTTTTGATTAGTTAAAAAGGAGGGGAGGGAAGGGGAAAGGAACAAACTAATTATTGCTTAACACATGCAGTTGGTTTAATTGACAAATCTTTTAAAACATAAGGTCTTCGGGGTGGGGAAGAATACCTTGGCCACAAAAGGTACATGCCTTTCAGTAAATGCCAACCTCTTTGAGGGTGGAGCCTGACGCTAACTCATCTTTGTGTCTCCAGGCACGAGCACAGGGCCTGGCACCTGGGGACCAGGGCTTGGAACTGGTGAAGAGAACTGAATCGAAGGGGGAAAGGCAGCTAGTCCCTAGCTCTTATGGATGGAGAACTCTCTAGCCACCATCTGGAAATAAGACTGAAGGCCCACACAGCGTCCTCTGCAGAGGGATTGCATTTTGCACAAGGCGCCAGGCAAGGCAGGTTGTGGGGCAAGAGCAGAGGCCCCGGTGGGCTGGACCCGCCCCCAACTGGGCTTCTCCCACCTTTGTCCTAAGCTTCTCTGCCTTTAGCCAAGCGCAGGGTGCCCCCAGAGGAGGCACACGGGACCTGTGGGCCTCTCCACCCCAACCCTCTTCCCCAGCTGCTTTGGAACTCATCAGATATCATTTCCATATGAAACAGCAACTTGAGTTTAATTACACTGTCATAAATTGGCCTCCGCGCTGTGATTAGAGCTCGCATCTCTGTTCTCTGGGACGTCTGTGAGTGTGTGGGGCTGGGGAGGCACCCTGGGGAGCTGCAGCTGGGAGGTTCGGGGACGCCCCGCTTACCAGGATGGTGGTGACGACCAGAGTGGTGTTGAAGAGGCTGTCGGAGATGTTGGAGGCGTAGAGGCGGCTGTCCATGCTGAGGCCGTCCGCCACATGCCACTGGCCAATCTGCCAAGACCAAGGAGAAAGGACTGGGAAGAACTGGGGGCGAGGGGGAGGCACGCCTGGCTTCCCAGGTCCCACAGAGTGGGGGGCCGGCCCTCAGCCTCTGACGGGGCTACCCTTAAACCACAGAAAGGATGGGGTGTGGGAGCAAAGGGGTGCAGAGATAGGGGTCCTGTTCCCTAGAGTGGTGGCTGGGAGAATAAGAAGGAATAAGGGGGGAAGGGGGAGAGAGGGAGGAGAGATGAAGGGGGAAATAAGTCAGGCCTGGAATGCAGTCTGGAGTTTCTTCCCATCGAGGGGAAGGAGCCTTTTCTTGAGGCAAGAATGAGCCACAAAGCTCTTGAGTTTAAGCCAGTCTTCAGAACTTCTGACCTAAATAAGGATCAGAAAGGCATGCTGGAGAGAACTGGCATGGTCTCAGCCCTTGAATAAATGTTTGCCGAATAGAATAGTTCAGTGAATGAACCAGAAGAGGGAAGACCCAGGTTCTGGTCCTGGCTGACCCACGTAGAACAGTGAGAACTTAGGCAAGTTACTTCCATCACTCTGGGTTTCAGTTTCGCCCTGTAGCTAGCAGATGAAGACACTGCCCTGCCTTCGGAGGCCCAGCCGACATCAGGGCAATGCCTCTTTGATGTTATTCCGCCAGCCAGGAGCACAGATCTCCATGTTGTGCAGCCTCAGAAAAACTTACTGAACCTCTTGGATTCTGTTTTCTTACCTGCAGAATGGGAATAGTGAGAGAAACTTCCTAGGGCGGTTGTGAGCATATATCTAGCTTGATACTCATTTGCTTCCTCTCCTTTGTCTAGACTTCAAGGGAAATGATCCACAGCTTGCTCAGTTCCCCATTCTGAACATCCCCACCCCCCAGCCAACCCAAGAGTATTGGGTTTGCGATGGTTTGTTTGTTTTCCGCGTGGAATTCTTCTCATAAATACAGATACATGTTTGTGAGACACCAACATGCTTCTGCTAGCTGGAGCCCCTGGCAAATCATTTCTGTGGCTGAGTGTTTGAGGTGGGCAGCCAGGAGAGACGGCTGACAGCTGGCTAGAAACCCAATGAAATGTACACATCGGCCGTTGCCAGGCGTCTCCAGGCACCGGCAGCAGCTTCCCTGGAAAAGCCTCGCAAATTCCACGGATGCCATGTGTTCTATTCACCAGAGTGGGCTCTGGGTTCCACTTCTGGAAACTTCAACAACAATGAAGAGATGCCTCACCCCTTCCCCAGGGGTGAGCCAGCCAAGGGCCACAGGCAGCAGGAACCATCTCCTTGACATTGTCTGGAGCTTGAAGAGGGAGTCCAAGCTAGGACCACCCTGGACTCCCACTGGGGGCTCTCACAGGCCCCAGCTGCAGGCAGGAATCTGATGGTCTCTACAGTCACGCCGAGGAGATGACCCCAGACCCTGGCCAGCCTTCACAAGGACACAGTTAAAGGCAGGTAGGGAGCTCTCTGCGCTGCATATGCTTAAGTTCAGCATCTGGCTCCTGCACATCCATGCAGGAAGCCTCATTTCAGATAAAGAAACCATCGGCAAAATACAAGCAGGCCCCACCTGCCCCCCCGGCCGTCATCTGAGAGGCCCGAGTGTAAGCCACTGGGCTCTTAGCCCCAGACGAACCCTCGGATTCCTAGGAAGCCCTTCGGCCACCCTGGTTCCTGCAATGCCTGCTGCACGTTTTGGTAACCTGTCTGTGTGCCCACCAGCCAGGGTAGGGCTGGCCTGCTTGTGCTCCAGCTCCTGCTTCCCAGCTTAGGGACCAGTGCTTGGAAAGGGGAGCCGAGACTGAGAGGGGCAGAGTGCGACAGGAGGTGAGGCTCACGCAGAAGGCAGGTGAGCCACTGACGCCCCTTAGGCCGGTCAGGTGAGGTTCAGCCTCCTCCCTTCTCTCTGCACGGGAAGGAGTGAGGCGGGGCTAGTTAGTGGTGGTCAAGTGAAAGGGGGGCAGTGGTTACTGGACACCCCTTGGGCTAGAGGGTTTCTATCACCCCTGAATTTTCCCATCTTGTGGAATCGTTCTGGTGTTTTCAGTTCATTTATGATGGCACTGGGGCTCAAGGAGGATACGTGGCTGCCTGAGGTGCGTTTATAGGTGTGATATGGGGTTGCACTCATATTCCTAAATCAAGATCTTTCCAGTCCCCGTGAAAGTCTCCTACGATGGAGACACCAAAAGCGTGCCCTGCAGGTACGTTGGCCCAGCTAACAGGAAGCCCTGAAGGGGCCCCTCCTCCAGTTGGGACCCTGGGTACAGGGCTTTTCCTCCTGGGTGTTGCCACTCCATCAAAGCAGGTAAAATGAAATGACTGTGCTCTCGGACACTCAGATTTCTTATTTTCAGAATGGATAAAATGGGTTCCTGACGGTTCCTCCTGGGGCGGGAAGGCCACATCTGGATGGGAGAATATAAAGAACAACTGGGCTGGATGCCAGCATCTGGCAGTCTGGGAGAGAACTAGACGCCTCCGAGTTCTATTTGCCACCTTAAAGGTGCACTTCACACCTTGAAGATCACAATCCTCTGCGCCTTGCCTCCTCCCTCCAGCCTCATCCTATTTCACACTTCACACTGTTCTCAAGGGACCCAATCCTCACTCACCATGCAGACCCCAGGCTCTCTGGTCTCACCTGAGCATGGAGATAAGATGCTACAAAAAGCTACAGACAGAAAAGATTTACTCAGAGCCAAATCCGACAGACTGAGCAATGTATCCCCCCACCCCCGCCTCTGGAGACACAGCAAAGAGACTAATTAGCCCCTGAGCTCCAGTCAGCAAATGAATCTCCCACCCACCCTCCCATTAGCCCCCAAGAAATTAATAAACTCATCAGATCCAACAAAGCGGCTTGGCAGCTATTACCCATTGCAATTTAATTGCAGAAAGGCAGTGGGAGGGAAAGGGAGAGGCAGAGCCAGGCGCCCTGGGATACGGGCTAATTGCCCCACCTACTGGGCACCTTCCATGCCACACACATGCCAGGGGAGGGCAGGAGACAGCTCTCATCACTGACAATCTGTGGCCTGCCCCCAGTCAAGCTCCCTTGCTCCACCCGCTGACAGCTGCCCCAAAGCCTCCTGCAGGAACAGCTGTTTTGTAAGTCTCTTCCATGTGGGCACATGTGTAGACCTGATTATGTCTCAAATGATGCCCTCCCTTGGTCCTCTCTGTCCTTCCCCTTCCTCTGCATTGCCACCCGTTTATCGGCCCAAGGGGTGGTAGAGAAGGAAGCAGAAGGTATGGGTTTGGATAACGCCACTACTGGGCTGTCCACTGGCTGTTGTGGCCCTGCAGTGCACAGCTGAGCGTGCAGAGCACAGGCTGACTGCAGCCCTCACTTGCCCTTGTGCACTACAAAGGTGATGGCCCCAGAGTCCGAGGGCCCGGGTGTGCTGGCTTCTCTGCTCACGAGCTGTATGCCCTGGGCATGTGTGTTAATCCTTCTGCACCTCAGTTTTTCCCTGCTATAACTGGGGATTAAATTAGTAGTTATTACTCATAGGGTTCTTACGGAGATTAAAAGAGATGATCATGTGCAAAGTACTCTGTGTGTAGTCATTAATTAAATTGTGACGCCGTGGTTCTGAGACAGGAGGTGGGATCTCGTCTCTGCCCTCCAGAGGGCTCTGCACCGTAGACTTAAGTTTATTAGACACATTAGTCCAGTGCCACCTTGGCCCTCCTTAGTGGCTGGTTCCTGGGCCAGGTATTTTAGCATTAGAAATGAAAATCCTCAAGCCTCATGCCAGACTGAATCCTGAGTTTCAATCAGAAACTCCAGGAGCAGGGCCCAGTGAAATGCGTTGCAACAGGGCCTCCAGGTGACTGATGCCCAACGGTCTCCAAGACAACAGATAGCGCAACGCAGGTGACAAGCATGTTGACAGGGAAAGGCAAGGCTGTGAGATCAGCAGTGATTAGGTGCTGACCCATGGTGATGATGGAAATGACAAAAACAGGCTTTTCAGGAAAACCAGGTCCTGATCTGTAGTGCCTGCCAATTTCTGTGGTGTAAACACTTCCATGTGTCTGATGCCAAGTCACCAACGGGATGTCACTGCATAGAGTTGCAAGAGATGGGGCTGAACTTTTCTTTGAGGTTGGTTTGCACAGACAGCAAGGCCTGCATCTGACCAGCGACTGGCCTCACCTGGGCAAAGCAGAAGCCACTAACCGTGAGGGGAGCTCTCAGGGCAGCTGGAGCCAGAGACACACAGGCAGGGGAGGGGGATTACCCAGGGCGAGAGGTGCACTAACAGAAATCCAAAGCCTGTTATCTGAAGCCTCTTCAGACTTCACGTACAAACTACCCATACATGCTGCAGCTAGTGGGGCACCCTGATTCCAAGCCATGGGGGAGCCAATCAGGCCCACAGACTGTGTGCTGGGGGCCGCACAGGCAGGGCTATCTCACTGCCACTCCACTTTACTAGGAGGGCAGGTGAAGTCTGCGTAAGTGAACAGGGTGGTTGAGCTGGCGAGTAGAAAAACAGGATTCAAAGGCCAGTCTGCAGCTGCCCTGGGATCACAATACTGGAAACAAATGTACTCCCCACGATTGAGTCTAATGCTCCTGAAGAAACATCTGATGATAGAAGTGCTTAGTCAAAGAGGAAAATGTGGGTAAATATGACTGATCTGGGACCTAGAATGTATCATTTATCTAACAGCCCAGAAGATACAGAATACATATAAATTAATAATAACCCTGCTCCTTTAACACCAAAGTTGTGGAGATTTTAATTCCTATTGAAAATATCATTTCCAAAAGTTCTTCCGAGGGGAGTCATTCTTCCCACTGTGATGAAACAGTGAGCGTCGCGTCACCAGTGGAGGCTGGCCCTGAGGGCAGATGAGACTGGCAGCTGAAATGTGGGGGCCACTTATTTTCTTCTATGCCCGCCTGTGAGTTAATTTGCCTGCTTCTCTCCCTGTTTCTTTCCTTACTGTAGACTATCACTTCTTTTTTTTTTTTAATAAAAAAGATTTATTTA